TCGGACTCCCGGGCGGCATCGCACACGGCTTTCCACGCCTGCCGCACTACGCGCTCGAACTGCGGCGCGGGCCAGGCAGGGCCCCCCCCCGCGCAGGCGAAGGCCGCGCCTGGCGCACGCGGGACAGCTGTCCCAGCCTCCTCTCGAGATCCGGCACGCGCTCGAGGATCGGCGCCCACTCGTTCTCGCTCGTGACGGCATGCGCGAAATCGACCAACGTCTCTAGACCCACGGTTTCGACCAGGTGGGTGGCGATGCGCTCATCAAACTGATACTTCGCGGCCAGCTCTCTGAATTGTGCAGCGGCGTCGCGAGCGCCGACGCGCCCCGGCAGCGCAATGCCGTCAACTGACAAAGACATACCGAGAACCACACGTGTCGCTCCGCTAAACCTACTCTCTGGACCGCGTTCGAGCCCACCTCGGGGCGCGCATACGCATCCGTTAAGTTGGCATTCGCTGGCAGGCCCACGCGCAACTCCGCGCGTCTCCGCCGCGATGACGTCACCACCTCACGCCGGGGCTGCCCGGCCGCGCAACTTTTCACACGCCGCGCACACCAGGGCTCCCTCCGGGAGCGCCGGGAACCACTGCAGATCACTCAATCCATTCTGACATAGGTTCGTCACTGGCCCGAACTCACTGTCCGTCCAGGCTCTGGACTTTTTGAGGCGACGAATTACGGGCATCGCGACGTGATATCGAGGCCCCATAACCTCCCTTACCCGGGTAGCCCTCCCAGGCTCAGACTGCACGTACCCGATCGCGCCCCGCGGCTCGGGCGACGGGCCCACGGCTCGCGACGCGCGCGCGGATGATCCCTCCGCAACCTGCCTGACTGGCGGCGCGCAGTGCGCTGGCGCGCCATCTGAGCCCTTTACGTCACATTCACCCAACTCCGCGCCCTGCGCTGCCTCGTCACCTGGAAGCACGGTCACCGCGCGACCGGCGCAGTCAACTCCCCGCGCTTGGAACGCGGCCGGGCCTGCACGGGTTGCGTCTCCCGGCCGCACCGACACTTCATCTCCCCTGGACCTGGGGATGGAGACAGCCTCCAATGCCGCCCACGCCCGGGCACAATACCGCTGGGCCGCGCGATCGACCCGCGGTTCGCCCTGCGCGGCCCGCAATGGCAACCGACGCCGGACTGGCGCGCGCTCCCGCCTCTGCTGGTCGCTTGTTTTTGCCGGCAACTTTCGGCGCTCTGCGTGGACTCGCAGGCGCAGGCAACGCGTTCCCACGCAAACCGCCCGGCGCTTTACCGCGCCCCCCCCGCTTTGCACGCGGTGCCCCCGACGCGAGGGTTTGCGCAGCGCGCGCACGCGCGCCCGGCGCTTCGGCGCCCGCCCCCCCCTCACCGCTCTTACCCGCGGCGCCCCCGTCGGCAGGACCCCGACAATTGGGTGGAGGCGCGCCCGGCGCTTTACCGCGCCCCACCCGCTGTCCACGCGGGGCCACGATTATCCGGAGAAACTTCTGCCGCCTCAACTCCTCGACGACCGACGGGGGCAAGAACGCGGCCTTCTCACGAACGGTCGACACCGCCACCCGCTGCTGCGCCTCTTTCTCTAGGTCGGCCAACATTACTTTTCCTGGCGCAGAACTCGCCCAGCATCGCACTTGCTCCCACTGCACTGGGGCCTCCAGATCGGTCCGCAGGCACGACAACACTCCGGCCATGTGCAGGCGCGTGCACATCTCGGCTTGCCGCCGACGCGCATTATACACGATCGGCATCTGGTTCCGACGGGAGTTGTCTCCCCCCTCCGTCCAACCGCCCGAGATGACTCGGGCTTCCCAGTCCAATTGTATCGCGCTCGCCCATGTAGGCCCAGCCCGGCGCAAACTGTACGAAGTCACAAGATCCAACTGGGAATCGTCCGCTAGCGAGCCTCGGAATACTTCCTTCAGCGATCGGTTAAAGGCACCCAACTTCACCGGCGCGCCGGAAACTGGATCGAAGACGAGCCCCGTCGGCACAGCCCTTCCTGCTCGATCTTCCCGCGCCGCCAACTTGTGCCAACCATCCCACAAGGCGTCAGCGGCGGACCGCGCGCCACCTAGCCGCCTCGGCAAGCACCAATCGAACGAAGGTCGCCCCTGTCGCTTTCCCTGCTTCCCCCTCGATGCGCGGAACCAGCAAAAATAAACAGACTTCTCTAAAGGCCTAGAGCGCAGCAGGTGCGTGTACCTCACCCACGCGAATACCACCGCCAGCATCCCAGCCGCGAGCATGACTTGCCCAGGCGTTCTCGCGCCATCCAGGAAATCGATCACATGGTAAATCATCTCGGGTTCGACGACAGTGGCCTGGGCCGGCGGTGCTACGGTTCCACTGCCTGGATCACGTGGCACAGGGCGAAACGCATCGTCCAGGCAGAAAGGCGCTTTCAAATGTACGCACATCCACTTCAAGGCGTTCCAGATCCTGACGCCGGACGTCCGTGCGATCGAGAGCTTATGCACGAACTCGGCGACTGCCATGGGTTGCCGCGCCAGACTCGTCGCCGGCTGCCCTTGCCGGCCCGCCCACTCGGCCCACTGCCCCCACACGCGCAAGGCCGTGCGCAGCGTCCCGGCTTCGAAATTACTCAGCCTAAACACCGCCGCGGACGAGACGTCGGCGAGCATCTCGGCCTGCGCCTCCTGCAACCCCTGCCCGAGGCCGCTTTCCGGGCGCCATTCAAGCGACGCTCGAACTACGCTGACCGCCAGCTGAACGCGCCCCTCACGCTCTGCCGCCTCCGTCGCCACTGCGGCACAGCGTCTCGGCCGACCGCGGCGCGCGGCGGTAGGCCCACGCCCTTTCCCCGCCGCGGCCCCCGCGCTCACGGCGGGCGCGGCGGCCGCCGCCGCGCCGCCAAATCGCCCCTCCGCGCAAATGCCACGCGCGGGCACCAGCCACGGCGTCACCCGCGCCACGTCCCGAGCCACGGCCCAGGCCGTGGGCACTCCACACTGCTCCGCCTCGTCCGTCGAGCAAAACAAATGCGCTAAATCGCCAGCCGACTCCAGTCCCTCTCTCTGCACGAGCGCAGAAAGGGACTCGCGCTCGGAGGAATCGACCCTCCAATCTAAGAACTCTTCGATGAAGAGCTCTCCGCGCTGCCCGGCCATCAAGCAGCACACAAGCAAGAAACAAACCAACAGCAACCGCTGTCGCCAACGCGCTTTGCTCGCACGATCCAATTGCGCGCTCTGATGCGCGCAGTCCCTGCGAGCGCGCGCGGGCGCCCCCTTCTGTCATGATTATGGTTCCCTGACCCGAGCCTCCCCGAGCCTAAAGTCAACGCAAAATTCGCTGAAAATTAAATACGAAACGCGTTTAGAACGAAAAACAATACAAACATAAATTGAAAAAATGGATAGCCGCCGACCCCTTGTGGGTCTGTAGGCGCGCGACATCCCCCCCCCATAAAGTCCCCCAGGAACCCCAAACCGGCAACTCGACCCCCCCCGCCCTCGCCCGGCCCGCCCCCGGACCGAACGCGCCACGGGGGAGCGGAGGGCTCCAAAACTGGTCAAACCGGCACCAAAACGCTGCCCAGACGGTCCCCGGGGGCCACGATTCGCCGACACATCGCCCCTAAACAACCACGATGGCCTCCCGGCGGTCTCCGAATTTGCCGAGACGCCCCAAAAGGCCCCCAAGATGCGCCCCCAGAGGGTCGCAAGAAACAGAAATCGGCCCATTTCCCTTCGAAACCAAACATGTTTCGCATGCTCCCCCGCTCGGCTGTCACAACGTCCAAAACAGGCACAGAAACCTTCGACATCGCCCCCCGTCCCATTCGAGAATCACTCGTCCGGTTTTTTCTGCCGTCAACGAGCGCGGGTGTTCCAAGGTACTTGTTCCATGTCTGCACGGCGAACACTTCGAAAGTCAGCCACGAAAAACGCACTGACCACGCAGTATCCCTCCACCGTCTGACATTGCCCCCACCTCCAGAGCGTTCCGAAGAGACCCCGCGAAACACCCCTCATACTCTGACCCCCTACAAAGCCGGTTTGGACCGACGGCCATGACAAATTGCACGGTCCAGACACCTCCACAGGGTGTCGACATCCAGGGCGACGCACACGATGTCCGAAGTGTCGGACATCTTTCCAAAAGGCCACCAGAAACAAGAAAACACGCCTCTAAACCAAATCGTCCCTCCTCTTTCTCCTCGTCCTCCTCTGATGACCCTCCTCCGCCTCGCCCCCACCCTCACCCGCCTCCTCCTCCTCCCCTTCCGCTTTCTCCTGCTTGGTTTTCCTCATTCATCGGTTTCGTCCTCCCTCTCGCTCTCACCCCCTTTGGTCGTACTTCTACGGATCGTGGCACCGGCGCTCGCATGGGTATCATTTGCATGCCTTGCATTTCAAGGTGCACTTCTTTTCGTCGCGCGCGACATTGCTACTGTCCACGGAAGGAGCCCACCCACCCAAAAAAACAAGACAACACAAGTACGCCCCAGGACAGCAACACGACATCCCCAAATCGATCAAAGGGTCGGCGGATGTGGCGTAAGCCTATAGATATCAAAGCAGAACAACGTCTAGGTAGCGCCCTGCTGACGATGTGGCTGTCGGGCCCTCTGAGGCCGCGGATCGACAAAAAAAATAGTTCGTCGGGTGTCTGGGCACGACCCCTCCCGCTCCCAGCCTCCCCCCTGTGGCGAGAGAAGAGAAGAAAAACAACACAAACGAAACAAAAAAAAAAAACGGCGGCGTTCCGTCTGTGGCTGGCTGTGCACCGCCGCGCTGCCCCCGAGCGCCCGGCGCTGGAGCGGCTGCCACCAGTGTCCCAGTGCGTCTCCGCACGGGCGATGGCTTGCCCCAGCGCACGCGCGAGGGTCGATAAGCCAGGCCGTCACCTGGCACCAGACGGCACTCTCAGCCTTGCCGTCGTCCGGCACCGTGCCGCAGGCATGGCGGGGCGTGTTAAGATGCTCCCCGGTTGGCTGGCCATGCTTTTTCAGCGTTCCACCCCCCGACCAGCGCCTTTCCTCCGAAAACCGACCTTTCCTTCCTGGTGCCTTTTCGGCCGCCGCGCGGCTCCAAGACAGCTGCCCAAAGCGGTCGCAAGGAGCCCCAAGACAAGTTCAAAGACGGTTGGAAGAGTCCGAAAAAGGCCTCCAGCGAAGCCCGAAGAGGCGAAAATAGTTGAAAATCTACAAACGATCAATGCTGTTTGGCTCCCGGGGCATTTTAGCAACAGATCGCCCCGGGGAAACTTCAGAGAGCAGAGAGCCTCAAGAGGACCCCGATGACGGCTCAAAACTGGCCACAGAGAGCCCCAAAAAGCCCGCCAGACAGCCCACTACTGGGTCTTAACCTCAAGCTCCTTCACACAACGCTGCTGCGCTGGCACAGTGGCGGGGCTTGTCGCAGGCAGCTGGATACGCTGTACATAACGACGATCATATAATGGATGTCGCCATCCTTGGACGCTGCACCACCCTCCAGGCGGTGCACCGCTAACGCTGACGTTGTGCCGCCTACGATAATGGTGAACAAAGAACAGTTGCCAGCTTCGGAAAGCAAAAAGCGATCCCCGGACGGACACCACAACTCTTCAAACGACTGGTCATGAATCCCCACGTCCGCGGAGACGTCCTCTGACCAGGGGTCCCTGAGGAAACATAGCTCACGCACACTGGAGCTGCCAATGCACGACCTCAGTGCACAGCGTGCTCGGAATCTTACCGCACCTGTCTCTTCGTCCGAAGCAACATCCCACCGCTTCGCCTAGCAAATGACCCGGGCCCCGATGCCATGATCTGTTCATATTGGTTTGTCGGGCGTGTCCTCCGACAGGCGGATTATGGAAGCCAAAAAAAACACAACAACAAGGTCGACACGTGCACTGCCCACACGTCCACGGTCCGATAGTCCACGCCTTCATCCACTGGGCGAACATGTAGACTGACGAACCGTGGACCCACTACCCCCCCAACACAAACACCAACACCAACACCAGTTCCATAGAATCCCTACGGGATCATATACGATCTCTACCGAATCCTATAGGCTCCGTATGGAATCCTATAGGATCCCTATGAAATCGCATAAGATCCCACTGGTCACCGTGGCTCTGAGACCACCCTTACGCACCTCCACGTATTCCTGCGACCGGAAAAGATGTGCGCACCGGCGAAGCGACCTTCGGGCATCCTTTGGAATCCATGCGGAATCCTTCGGGAATCCCTAAGGAATCCCTAGGGAATCCCTGGGGAATCCATAGGGATTCCTAGGATCCTATGCAAAGCCTACACGCCCTGTATGAATTCCTGTCCAGAGCCTACACGGCCTGCACGGGAACCTATACAGAGCCTACACGGCCTATGTGAGATCCCATACAGAGCCTACACGCCCTGTCGAGGGGCCCGATACAGGGCCTACACGCCCTGCATGTGATCCTATAGAAAGCCTACACGGCCAGTATGAGATCCTACGCAGAGCCTCCACGCCCTGTGTGGGATCCCATACAAAGCCCACGCGGCCTGTGTTGGATCCTATACAGAGCCTACACGCCCTGTATGGGATCCTACGCACTGCCTACACGCCCTATCTGGTATCCTATACAGAGCATACACAGCCTGCCTGGGATCCTATACAGAGCCTACACGCCCTGTATGGGATCCTACACAAAGCCCACTCGCCCCGTATGGGATCCTACACAAAGCCCACACGGCCTGTACGGGATCCTATACAGAGCATACACGGCCTGCCTGGGATCCTCTACAGAGCCTACACGGCCTGCACGGGATCCTATACAGAGCCTACACGGCCTGTATGGGATCCTGGACAGAGCCCACACGGCCTGTATGAGATCCTACACAGAGCCTACACGCCCTGCGTGGGATCCTATACAGAGCCTACACGGCCTGTGTGGGATCCTATACAGAGCCTACACGCCCTGTATGGGATCCGATACAGAGCCCACACGCCCTGTACGGGATCCTATACAGAGCATACACGGCCTGCTTGCGATCCTATGCACAGCCTACACGCCGCGTCCGCGATCCTATACAGAGCCTACACGCCCTGTGGGGAATCCTATGCAGAGCATACACGGCCTGTTTGGGATCCTATACAGAGCCTACACGGCCTGCACGGGATCCTATACAGAGCCTAAACGCCCTGTGTGGGTTCCTATACAAAGCCTGCCCGGCCTGTACGGGATCCTGTACAGAGCCTACACGGCCCGTGAGGGAGCCTATACAGAGCCTACACGGACTGCATGGGAGCCTATACAGAACCTACACGGACTGTACGGGATCCTATACAAAGCCTACACGCCCTGCATGGGATCCTATACGGGGCTTAGACGCCCTGTATGGGACCCTATACAAAGATTACACGCCCTGTATGGGATCCCATACAGTGCCTACACGCCCTGAATGTGATCCTACACAGGAGCCTACACGGCCTGTGTGGGATCCTATACAGAGCCTGCACGCCCTGAATGTGATCCTACACAGGAGCCTACACGGCCTATGTGAGATCCCATACAGAGCCTACACGCCCTGTCGAGGGGCCCGATACAGGGCCTACACGCCCTGCATGTGATCCTATAGAAAGCCTACACGGCCAGTATGAGATCCTACGCAGAGCCTCCACGCCCTGTGTGGGATCCCATACAAAGCCCACGCGGCCTGTGTTGGATCCTATACAGAGCCTACACGCCCTGTATGGGATCCTACGCACTGCCTACACGCCCTATCTG